TAGCGCGAAGGTCGTGCGCCATATATCCGGCATGAGACTAGACGGACTACCAAAAGCAATGGGTAGAACACCCAAATTAAACCAGAGAAAAATTTATTGGATAAGAGGTGAGTTCGCTAATGCTAACAGTAGGGCCCCCAGCAGAGAGCTAGCAAGGGAGGTGCAGTTGGGCGTCAAGTGCGTGGACGAAGCGTCGTTCTCAGGCGAGTCGCGCGCAAAGAGCGGGGACGACGTTCCAACAGGCAAATCGACTACTTCCCTAATAATTCAGAAAGCTATAATTCTAATATATTTTAGAATAGTTTACACAGTCATACGGAAGAATCTCCAGGTCACTACACGTCGGCAGCCTTCCAACAAAGCGCATGTTCAAAATAAACAATCCAGGCAACGAGTTTTCTGATTAGGTAGCTTAAAATGCACTATTTTAGTATACATACTGGAGGTGGAATCACAGTTTAACCAGCGTAGGCTAGCCCAGGGTTTGTGCGAGGACAACAATCGGATCACCCAATTCGTCTACTCCACACCCGATCCTGAAACTAAACTCCCGGTTGCCGGACCTTTTGCTTATTTACAACACCTTCTCCACTAACCAACAGAGGTAATTTTATGCCAACAGAGAGCGCCTCAACAGATTTGTGGAGAGACTAAAATATGCTTGTCCTCAATACGGCGCTTTGATAACTCATCTAAACAGCTACACTAACCCTTGACGGTCAGTGGAGCGGTCAGCGCGGAACAGTGCGTAGCCAGGTAGATATACTTCGCCATCTGTGATTTCCTAAGACACCTACGTTCCAGAGAAAGTAGGTATAGCTGGACAAGAATTATGCACGAGCAGACCCACCTTGCACATCTTGTTGCTCAGACTACGCAATTTATTAAGTACTACTTGGAGGACTTCGGCACGACCAGCCCTGGATGTTGCACAAGAAGAATAGGTTCTGGCAGGGCGGAAAAAGACCACCGGCTGACCACCTGAAAACCCACCGGTCGGAGACCTTGCTCGCCAGCTGCACACCGGGCTTTTAGGTCTGTGATGGCTTCCTTTAACTTTGACCTATCCGCGAACGGTAGGCCTAGTTACACGCTAACTTTGCTACCTTTGAGCTTGAAGACAAATCGTAGCAAGGCCCTGCGCTCTTCTAAGGTAGAGAGGACCACCCTATGCGGACGTGGTCGAGGATCTGGTTGACCAACCGGAACCTTCCCCGACCTGATGAGCCTCCTGACAGTAACGCCAGGGAAACCTGATGGTAAAAGCCTGGTCAAGCAAAATTTAATTCGACCAAGCTCATCAAGCTTATGCTCGGTGGAAAGAACGACAATGGGTGCAGTGAAATTTCTGAAAGCCACACTGCTGTCTGTGCAAGAATCGATCTGACGAGGTGTATTTACTCCACATGCTCTACCATCCACGTCACATGGTTGGTTGACAGGAAGCGCTAGGAACGAAGGAGACGGCACCGCATATCTCCTTGTGGGAATTTCAACACCGGGTGGGGTTTCCAGCTCAGGCGCTTGTTTCTTGAGCATTTTATCACCTCCAGGTTTAGGGGTGGGGGTTTGCGCGCTACTCTTGTTCCTTACGCTTATTCTTTAATGGCCCAGGAGCCCTTGACTCACCCTCCAGATGGGGCGGGTTAACAATACTGTTCGAGGCATCGGTGTCAGTTACCTGTATGTGAACTGGACCGTCCGGTAGGACGAACGCCTCGTCAACGGCTGGACTGTCAGCAAAAGGACAGTCCATTGCACCGTCCACATTCGCAATATCGAGGGATTTAATATTTAACTCCACTTTAGAATTGACTGAGGCAAGAGAGGCAGGCTCGGATATCGCCTTCTAACTAACTGTGAATCTGGATGCCAGTGCTTCGAATCCAGCACAGGTGAAAGCCGGGAGCTTCGCTTTATGAGCGCAGCGATCAGCACCTGTAAACAGGTTTTCACTGAATGATTGCAGATTGTACTGTTTCACTCTAATGCCGACAAAAATTTTGTGATACCAGCGGGAGCATACATCCCACTGCATGCCACCAGATGAAACGGTAACTGGCCTTGAACCAGAAGAATGACTGCAAGCTGCATTGGCCTCATCAGGCGAGGGTGCAGGATATTCTTCCGCCTCGGTTTTAGCGAGGCGACTATGTTGAAGTGGAAAACAGAGAAGAATGTAAAAAACAAATACAACCGTAGAATGAACACCATAAAAAGCAAAACGGAGTGTAAAAGGGGATTGAAAAGGGAACAACCGCAAAATTACCCGTAAGCGTCAGCAAGACGCTTTGGCCAGGACCACTTTAATTGATCCAAGATAACGTGGATCAGAGAAAATTTGACAATTGTTGAACTTCGTTCCATGTGTTTATTCAAACACAGTTTCCTACGTTATTTCAGCTAAAATTCTTGTTCAGTATGGCAGGCCAAAAAGCCGAGTTACCTCGTGGCGTGTTCACTGGGCCGCCGAGTCTGCCAAGCACGGGATTTTGAATACGGGCTGTTGCTCATCAGGACAACATGTTTCTGAGTTATCTAAAGGTATGGGCTTTAATGGAGTGATTTGTTACGAAAGACGTTTATAATGAGGTCAGGAACTCTAAAAAGCTAAAACTTATACTGTACCCTGCTTAATTGCAAAGTTGTATAAAAGTGGAAAAGTTACTATATAACAGTACGTAAGTGGTTAAAATAGAAACTGCATGTAAGAAATCGTTTAGTGATCGCTGTGCTATATCTCCGTAAAATAAACAAAGTGGCAGGATGTATGGTAAATTTTCCAAAATATGGAAGTGTCAAGTTCAAGTACTAGTTCAAGCGGGACTGGCTCCACAGGATAAACCTCAGAGTGTTCCTGCTTCGGCAGGTCGCTGAACCAGGAGTTTGCGGACTTTGAACTGCTGATGGATGCAAAACAATGACTGCATCACGGCCTGTCCAAATAACTAATGCCCGCGTATCCTGCCCTAGCAGTCCCTGCTGGGCAGGTTACTTGAAGTAAGAGAAAGAAAAAGCAAACCCAGAAGGAGAAAGAGAAAGTAGAAAGAGCTACACAAGTGGAATACCAAGATATTTGAGTCAGTAAAAGAAAGAACTGAAAAGTGAACTTTAGTCAGCTAGGAAAAAGGAAAAGTTTGCTGTTGTCGATGTTATTGGGCGGAACCTGGGATACTAGTCGGTAAGCACTGACACGTAATACGTGTCAAATACGATAGTATAGAAGTCGGAGGCGGCTGAACCCAACGTATATTGTGCAGGCTACAAGAATAGAAAGCGAATCAGACAGAGCGAGAAACCTGCAGCAAGGAACTCACCAAAACGGTTTGTGACCATGGATGTGCAGTCAGTTAAACAAATGGACGTTTCGAAGGTTAAAACAACCATAAAATCCAATGTTATAAGATACTGAAAGAGCATGTTTTCAGTTGCACTACAACGTATTACATACTGTTTGTAAGTAGGGATTGGTTTAAGAGGAGGTTACCTGTGGAAGTCGCAACCGTGTAATCGAAAGGGTGACTCAAATCGTTATTAATTGTTAGATAATTGACTGTGTGTGTAAAAATGTCCCCTGCTCTTTAATGAAATGATATATATATATATACCTAAAAAGATTATAACTGTGTATAGAACTCCTGTTCCCCAATAAACCTCTTAAGCTTCGAAATGAGTAATCATGCACTTCGATGTTTACATACCATTACTTCCTGCGAAATCACCTTGAGTGAATAAAAATCGTTCCATTTAGCACACCTAGCAGGAAAAGGATTATGGTCACAATATCAAACAGCTGCAGTCTCCAGTGTTAAATATAACATTGCGTCCACAATTGCATAGCACAAAACCATTTGTTAATAAACACAATTTTTCTTTCAGGCAACAAACCATTGCCGAAATATCTTCAATCTCCGATTTTACATGCTTTATGCATCAAACATGCTGGAGTACATAGATTTACACACAAACATTAATTCATGTATGCATTTCTAACTTATGCACATACCATTATTCCTTACTACCTTCAGCAACCTATATGGTTGGCGGCATCCGGTTTCGGATTTCCGGGTCACTGTGGTCAGCCACAGGACGCCTGCGCCTACAGAGGGACCATGGGTGGCTTGCGCTGCACCACCCACAGCTCCATCCACACATCACATATCCAGTGTAAACCCGAAGGAATAAGACCGGGAGGCATGTGGATGGGAGCCACGTTTTATCAACGGAGCTTGCCCACACTCTTTCACAGGCAAACACAACCTACATATGCATACATATATAGACATATTATACTTTATATATATTAACGAAGGTATTAAGGAATAATGGTATGTTCCTAAGTATGAACTGCATACGTGAGGTATTGTTTATGTGTAAATCTATGTACTCCGGCATGTTTGATGCCTAATACATGTAAACTGAGAGATTGAAGAGCTTTCAGCAATGTTATGTTGCCTGGAATAAAAATTGTTAAATAACAAATGAGTTCGTGGCATACAATTGTGAATGCGGAGGAATGTTATATTTAATAGTGGGGCCTGCAGCTGTTTGCCATTGTGATCCTCATACTTTTCCTGCTAGTTGTGTTAAATGGAATGAATTTTATTCACGCAAGGCGATTTTTCGTGCAGTAATGGTATGTAGGCATCGAAGTGTACGATTACTCATTTCGGATCTTAAGAGGTTTTAGGGGAACAGGGGTTCTGTAAACGTTTAAAATCGCTTTAAGGAATATTGTCTCGGGAGGGATAACGGAGTTATACTGTTGTAGGCGGTGAAGTAGGAAAGATGGAAATCGGTAAGAGTTACCGTAATAGATAAATAAGACATAGTGTTCTGTGTTCACTAATTTTACCTGAAAATGCAGCCAGTTTTACGTTACTTATTAGTGTCGCATGATAGTTAGCAACTAACCCGCTGCTGGGTAGAGTAACAGGACGTACTGAGTAGGAAGTGAAGGTTTGGAGCGACGCTTGGCAGTAGAATGGGAACCGATGCACATGACGACGTTGTACTGATATACACCGTGCGTTGGTAAGGTGGTGTTTGATTGTATCAGGTGGGTAGAGGGACGCTCAAACCACATGCAAATATTCTCGTCTTTGTGAGGAGCGTTGCGAACGTTCATTACCCAGCAAGCAAGAATACTGAAAAACGGTTCATTAAGTATTATTACATGACGAACTGAGGGCGCTACGAGGTAAATATACCAAAGGCTCAGGAAAATAGTGAAGCAAGGTTTACGAAGAATCTAGGGCTACAGCGGCATGTTCATCATTGAAAATAACTGCATAAGGTGAGCTCACCACGTTCTTAATAGATGAGCATGTTGTTCACATTGGTTGCAGTGTTGCGTCACACGTCAAGATGTAGGAATTGGTCCATATATTGTCTGATGATTACGGAATCACCCACTGAACCTTGTGAGCTTGTAGCCGCCGCAAGAAATGTTCACACTTTGCAAGTAACCTATGCGATGTGGGACGACAAAGCACAATGACAGAGGTTGGTCCTGAAAAAGGCCATTGCTCCGTTCTCTAAGAAGTGTGAAAGGTAGCCGAATGTGGAAAGTGAAGGAAGATCGCATCCGGTGCTATGACAGGAGACGACTAATGCACGTACGTCACAGGTGACCGAGGGCGTTAATGTGGACGGTGGACTGCGGCGCATGTGTACTGTGTCTCTGAATGGGAGGTCATCATTGTAATTTGATGTTACCTTTGACTCGCATTCACGAACGCCTGATATAGAAGTACCGGTCGGTAGGAGGAGGGCCAGGGACAGCGATAACCTTGACGTTGGGGGCGGCGCATATGTAGTTTAGCTATGAAAAAGACGTCACCATGAAAATGCAACCTTGCCTTTGTACATGTATCAATGATGAACACTCAAGTGAGGCGAATACGTAAGAAAATAGACAGTGGCTTGTTCACTTTATAAATAAATAGGTATATTTCTAGACCTGCTAGAGGCTGCACCCTAAAGGGCCCAGATCAATGCTTACATAAATCCGATGCTCTTGCATGGAAGTAGGTAAAATATAAGTATATGTTCATCGTCAGCAATTACAAATGCATTGGGATTGTTTGATATACAGCTACTGGGTCGCAGGCGCCCACCTTGACATTTTTCTGGTTCCTGCGGGTGATATTGAACTCCTTGTTCTTTTGTGGAAATTTCGCGGGGGTGTAGTTGTGCCTTTTCTCCTTGGAACAGAATCTAATTCGCCGAAAGTGCACGTTAAATTGATCGCACATTAATTGGTCACTCAGTTGCCCCAATTGTGCGCACATGGAAGAAATGAGTGAAGGGATTTTAAGGCATACGAAAAGTTGAAAACAATTCCGATAAATGCGGACAAAAATAGAAACAATTTGTTAAGAGAGAAAATAAAACTGCGTGCTTCAGTAGAAAAATACTAATTAACAAAAATATACAGTCCTACTTTTCTTACGCTGATATTGCTCTCCGGCGCAAAGTTTCAATCTGAGTTATTCTCAGATAAAAGAAAAAGCCTTTCTACAGTTAGAATACTGCTTAAAGTGACACAAAATTACACTGGTCTGGACCAGCTTTAGCGCCTGAATACGATGAACGTAAAAGCAACACAATACGTGCAGTAGTTTGCGAGTTATTTGCAATTAACTGATGGTCTACGAATAAGGCCATTTTTGTTTTTCGCTAAAAATGGCTTTCTGCTTTGCAAGCAGATAGCAGAAAAAAGAAAAGAAAATATAAAAAGTAGGGAAGCGGCGTATGTTCTAGATAGGCGTAGCTATCCAGAAATGCTTTAATTAGCCCGTAATACCCTGCGACAACTACGGACTGCGCAGGTGGCCGAAAAGTAAAGTTTGCAGGCATACATGACAAATATATGAAGATAAGGGATGATCTTGCGCGAAAATGCTAGAAATCCAGCAAGGAATATTATATCTACATGGGAATTCAGGGGGGCTTGTAATTAACTCACGGTTAGAAGGCCACAGCGTACCATTTTCAGTGGATACTGAGCCACATAAACAACCAGTAAAATAGAGTTTAGCATTTTTTAAGCCTCTAAGCTTTTCTAAAGCTTACAACAAGCCCGCATGAGTCAGGTCTACCTGAGTAACCCTGGGGATCTTTCAGATCCGTTAACAGATTCCGGCCTACAAAATACACGCATTACTTAGCTAAACATCACAAGATTTATCCCTTAGAGCCGATTTTCTATATTCATGTGGCTCTGTCTCTAACGTCAGTGAGCTATAGGTGCCTGCCACCAATAATAAAGAAATAAGCATGGGAAAATTTAGTGAAATTTGGCTAATTGCATTTGGGCGTGAAATCCGTTTTGGTCTACATTGGTTGGGCTTTAACAACTCTACTTCTGGTGGTTGAGCTTGCTCATACTTGTGGTATTGACGTAGGCGTATGTTATTTTGGCTTCGAAAGGGCTGTCATTAATGAAATGAAAGGATACCTGTAACTAGGTTTCAAACAGGCGACATATTACGGAGGCTGTACGTTTGAGGGGACGCAGTTGCAGCGGTAGGTAGGATGACGAAGGGCGGCGCATATCACTGTGACTCTGAAAGAGAAGTGACCTTGGGAATCCAATGGTACCTGTGAGTATGAATCAAAGATGCATCACATGCCGGTGGCAGTACGTGGGAGTAGGCGCAGTGGCTGAGTTAAGTACTAGGGCAAACGGAGGCGCATGTCACTTGGGCTCTGAAAGAGAAGTGGTCATGGCAACCAAATGGTACCTGTTGGGAATACCGACTTTGAACGACAGCGCCTATGAACATAACAGAAGAACTTCGGATTTTCGGAAGCCCCATCTGCCAATTCCTTTTCGTATAGCAGCCGAGCTTTCCTTAAGTGTTGTTTACACCTATTTCTAACCTTGCTGTGTCTAGCACACGTACTAGTTTATGGAGCCGCACGGTAGGTCCTCCAACACCTATAACGCATATGGAGCACTGCAAGCAACACGGTAAGTTGAGCTGAGGAAGCGCTAATCACTACGGACAGTGCTTCGACAATTTTAGCTGTCGACTGAAACGTGTAGGTGCGCAAAGCGTCAACTCCACAGCTAACGTAAGGCGCAACGCTCCCGCCTTGTCAGCCAAAGAAGCGATCACATCTAAATAATGCGTAGCCAGACAGATGTACTTCAACGTTTTTGACGACCCGAGACAGTCACGTTTCAGTGAATGCAAGTGTATCGGGATGTGACCCATCTACAAGCAGACCTATCTCGCACCTCTTATTCCTTTGGTTGCGCACATTGCTTAGCACGACTTGAAGGTACTCGTGATGTCCAGCCCTGGGTTGTGCGGTATAACTACTGGCACTGATAGGGCAGAAAAGGACCGCCGGCTGACCACCCGAAAACCTATCAACGGGAAACCTTGTTCGCCGACCGCTCGCCTGGTTTTGACGTCTTTAATGGTCACTTTTAGCTTCAGCGTCTTCGATAATGGAAAATCTGCCTGAACACCAACCTTAGCACCATTCAATTTGAAAACAAATCGTAACAGCGCATTGCGTTCCTCCGGCGTGGATAGGACTATACGAAGTAAGTGCTGTCGAGGGTTTGGGGCGTTAACTGGGACAGTACCAAATCTAGTCCGTTTCCCCGACCATTTCTTCGCAACAGCTGTGTAACATACTCCACTTCCGTGACACAAGTGTTACGATAACGCCGCTGTATGTCATACAACTTGCGCCTTGTTAAACGAATGTTATATTGAAGACGCACAAGTGCACGCATCTCCTGCGTCCGACGAAATGTCTTCATTAGGTTAAGCACCACGCTTTCCTGATCCGCTGTTGGCCGCCGATTTTTATCCTACAACCGAGGCTTCCCCACGTCAAAACCGTGCGAATGCCAGAGACAGTAGTTTCCAATCTCGAAACATTTTCCCTTAAAAACCGCTGAGAACGGCGCAGGACAACGGTAACACCGGCAGCTGTTAAGATATATTCATCAGGAGTATACCCAACACTTACCGCTTTCCAGCAACATTCGATCGCACGCACATAAACTGCATTTATAGGTACTGGCATCTTTCCGGTTGCACCTGACCAGTCTCCTATTTTCGAGCTTTCAAGTTCAAGTTCAAGTGGGACCGGAGCCGTAGGAAAATCCAGCGAATGTTCCACCTTGGAAAACGTCGTTGATTCAACTGGGAAACCGGTGCCTTGATTTGCCAAAGGACAGCCAAATCAACACACCATTCACCTGGTCAACCATACAATGCCCACGTGCCTTGCACTAGCAGTCCCCGCTGGGCCAGCAACGTTAGGAATAAAAGCAAACTGTAGTGTCAGTAAATGAAAGGAAACAGGGGAGGACAAGCTTATCGAATTTCGTAGGCAATGTTACATGTAAATTAAAATGAGGTAAAGAAACATAGGCCGTAGTAGACGAGTAAAGTTTAAGACATGGAGGAAAAGATTTAAAATTGCAGACCGAGAGCGTCAAGTCGATGCTCGAACTCTTAAGCCGTCGGTGCCATCAAGCCGTCTGCAGGCAATGCGTTCCAATAAACTATGCCCCTACGCGATAACCGAAAAGCTGCCCAAACCCGGTCAGACCGGGGTTTGTGCAACTTTACTGGGTGGCCACGAAGGGTTGGCAGTCGAGTTGGGCGAAACAGTCCAGTCAAATCAGGACCAATCTGACCCATCAATATACGATATGTAAGGATCAAGTCGCCCCGAAGCCGCCCGTAATACATGGAAAACATAGCCAACTTACGTAGCCTCTCCGGGTACGTCAGTTTCTTAAATTCGCGCACCATCTTCGTCCCGGACCGCAGGTCTCGGTCAACTGCCACCTTGTCACGAACCAGGCATGGAGGACAAGCCTGGACGCAGTATTCCAAGTGCGGCCTTACAAAAGCCGAAAATAGTCTAACAAACATGTCGGTGGTCTTGATCCCGAATGACCTGCGGATCATCCACAACAAGTTGAAGCCTTTACGAGCAGCTGTCTTCCAGTGTTCACTGGACTTGAAGTCAGATGACAACAAAACACCGAGGTCAGATTGGAGTTAAACTCGCGGTACCACGTTGCCGCTAAGCAAATAACGCGTCGACGGGTCATTCGGACCAACGCGTAAAACGGAACATTTCGCTAAATTAATGGGCAACTGCCGCAAAATGGACCAGTCCCAATGTCTATCCAGAGCCTCTGTAGAGTCAGTGGACCAATCGACTCGTCTATCGTGAACGCGAGTTTCAAGTCATCCGCAATATTAGGGATGGCACACCCAATTTATCAGGTAGGTCATTAACGTATAAAGT